TTTGACAAAGGATCATAAAAATCTGTTTGCCATTGTTGAAGATTTTTGTAATCTTGTACGGCATCACCTGCATGGATTATAAAATTTGGCGTGTGATGTTGGAAAGCGGATTTCACAAGGCGATTAAAAACGGTGAGGCCAAATTGATTATCAGAAAATGCCACTATTTTTATAGGATAAGCACTTGAATTAGAATCGTTTGGTAGAACTGGAAAAAATTGAAAGGAATTTGAAACAATGATAGCCTCAGGTTTTCGTTCATTTTCTTTATGAATTATCTCATACTCATAATTAGATATAGATTCGAATGGTCCTATAATTGCTTTATATACGTGATGATAATCATCTAACTTTAAAGGGACAAGGATATTCGATGTGCCAAGTAATACACTTATGCCGTCACTTGGCCTGTTTTCGTACCACCGAATTCTGACATCTTTAAGCGCACAATTTGCCTCCCAGACTACTAACATCTTTTGTGTCTCAATCATATATAAAATTGGCGTCTTCCTCAAAGAACAAGATAATAATCCCAGATCGTATAAATTATTACGGAGTTTGTACTTTAACATTATGAATTGTAAATTAATTGATGACCCAAATAAATATAAAATAACAAATAAAAAAAGTATCATTATTATAATTCGATTCTTTATTTTGCGAAGTCCGCGTAATGAAGTAAACATTGTCCTCCGGCAAATATACGCAGTTCTCTTAAATAGATTTGGATGTTCTTCAACATCCAAGTCTAAAGGGTGCGTCATTTTTCGAGAGGACGAATGAAAAAACATTATCTATTGTTTTTTTCTTAAATCATCAAAAATCAAGTGTGAATAAAAAAAGAGTAAGGTCAGTGCAGATGTGTGAACAACAATAATTAAAAATTCTTTTAATAATCGTCTGATTGCAGATTTTTAATATTAGTAGCACAAGACCTTTCCTATGTAATACACCATTTGACTTTTAATTAAACGTTGAAATTACATATCGTAAATCTGATAAAGTGTGAGAAATTAATGATTCTTGTATTCCTGAACTGATTATTTTATCTAGGATTTTGGTCTGCGAATACGTAGATGTGAGTATGGAAGGGTGGAGGTAAATTGAAGGTTTATTAATTCATATGGGTTAGGTGCTGGAAAAAGGGACGAAATTGACAATTTTTTCAAAAGAAATTTTTTTTACATAAAGCAATTTAAAATAAGATTAGGATCCTTTTTTACTTAAAACACAAAAGTAGTTGTATTAATAAAATTTTGCAGTGTAGTAGCTCTTTAAAGTTTTCATTTTCTTATGATTTATTATATAACGATTGTTCGAAGATCTTTTTTTTTTGTCAATTTCGTCCTTTTTCTCAGCACCTAGCCCATATATACCTGATACGTAATATGATAGTATGTATTGTGCGGAATCATAGACCCGGGGACATTATAATTATACTATGATCGGAGGCATTGATATTGAATTCTATTACCGGATAAAATACCCTTTTATAGTAGACCCACAGTGTACTTACTATACGTACCCGGGTGCAAATCGCAGGATCTTCTTTAGTTAAATGTGGTTCTTTTTAAAAACCTAGATTGTCTGTTATAAACATGAAGTGTGTATACATTTTAAATTTTATACTGTATAATATAAACTCTCAGCTATGCACTATACCCGGGTCTATTAAAGGGTTTTAAAATGGGGAATTTACAGATAAGGGCTCAAAAACGAAAATAATTACAAATAAGGGCCCAAAATGAAATAATTACAGATAAAGGCCCGATATTTGAAAATTATTACAAATAAGGGCTCAAATATACCTTCAAAATTGCTAGCTGATTTAGACGTAACGATATCACATTTCGTGATTAATTAGGTGTTTTAGAGCTATCAATTCATTATTCAGAATTAAAAAAAAATCCGACCGACCAACCGGATTTTTGAAATCCATGTAATGCAAAACAAAAATTAACTTTGTCTGGCCTAATAGCCTTACTTCAGAACGAACACGATTTATAAAGTCACGAGGTCGAAGTACTGCTATATTTTAATTAACGGCGCAGTAAACTTTACAAGGTATGATCCACGTGTTTTGAATGCTTCCATAGGGTTTGAATGTAGCCATCTTCGCACTTGTTAGCTGAAATAGTAAAAGAGCATTAAGTGGCCATATGGGCCGATTTGACTCCATTGGCGATCATTGTGATATTTTCAAATGTGATCTTCAGAATTTGCACCAATTAAAT